TTCATAATTCTAGTGATATTTGGATCTGCATCAGACCGGTCTCTGGGGGGAGCAGATGTCGTTTTAACCTGTTTAGACCTCAGTTTCAGTCAAGCAATCATGGGCAATTGCTTATCCAAACAATGAAAGTTGGATGAAATTGGATTCGGTGTTGTTTTGGTCTCAGCTGAAGTTTGTTTATTCATTCATTCAGTCATTCATTCACTCATCAAAGTTAATTTCAAGATTATTCATCTGTTCCTTTATTCATTCATTCATCCATCCATTCTTTCATTCATTCATTCATTCATTCATTCATCAAAATACAATTATCAAAGTTCATTCAATTATTCATTCATTCATCAAAGTTTATTCATTCATTTAAAGATCTTTCTTCAGCTCATTAATTTATTCAAAGTTCATTCATCACAATGCAATTATCAAAGTTCATTCATTCATTTATTCAGTGTTCAATGTTAATTTAATAAACAAATAATTGAATGAACAGTGAGTGAGTGAGTGAGTAAGGGAGGGAGTGAGTGAGTAAAAGCATGGCTTAATGAACTTTGAATCAACAGATGAATGAATGAATCGTCCCTTACTCACTCACGGTTAATTAATTAATTCATTCATTCTTTCACTCACTCACGATTTATTCATTTATCCATTTGTTCATTCAAAGTTCATTAAGTTATTCTTTCACTCACTTTCTCCCTCCCTCGCTCTCGGTTCATTCTTTCACTCTCGATTCATTCATCCATTTGTTCATTCAAAGTTCATTAATTATTCATGCATTCGATCATTTTTTTACTCCCCATTCATTTATTCATGCATTGGTTTATTCAAAATTCATTAAGTCATTTATTCACTCATTCACTCCTTCCCCTACTCACTCATGGTTCATTCATTCATTCATGGATTTGTTTATTCTTTCACTCTCCCTCATTCACTCATTGATTCACTTACAGTTCATTTGTTCATTTATTCAAACACTCACCCATCCACGTTCATTCATTGAAAGTTCATTCAAAGTTTATTCATTCATTTATTCATGCATTCGTTCATTTTATTACTCACTCACTCAATTCATTTATTCATTTGTTCATTCAAAGCTCAATAATTAGTTAATACATTTGTTCATTCTTTCACTCACTCTCTTATTCACTCACGATCTATTAATTTATCTATTTGTTCATTCAAAGTTCATCAATTCACTCACTCAAGGTTCATTCATTCATGACTCATTTGTTCAATGGTTTGTTTGTTTCTTTCATTCATACATTCATTTATTCATTAAGTTCATTCATTATTTCACTCACTCACTCAAATTTCATTTATTCTTTTAACGTTCGTTCATTCAATTATTTTTGCTGCAAAATCTTCACTGATTTTTGAAAACTAAATTAAAGAATAACATCCATGCAGTTCATATTTCAAGAGTGCAAACAATTTTAGTTGCATTATTCAATTCAAATTGCATTGACACCTTAATCTCTGCTCTAACCGCTGATTTTAAAAACGTTGAGTTGTGTCGATCATGTAAAATATAGTACAAAAGTTATTTTTTACTTTCACTTATTTTGACATAACCTCAGTATTTTTAGGAGCCACAAATAACCCTAATAACTTTATTTTGCTTGTCGAAGTGCCAGTAGCCTCAGGATCATGAACCACCACAGACCACAATTTCAAAATAAAAATTTTTAAATTTATGCTGAAGAAAAAGTCATCCACATTTTGAGTGCCCTTAAAGAGAGTAAATGAACAGCTAATTATTTTTATTTATTTTATTTCATTATGGTGAATTATCAGGTTTAATTTCAGAGTTTTTCATTAAGGCAATACATTGCATGCAAAAACACTGTGTTATTTATCCGTCTTCTTCTTTTCTTTTCTTTTTATTCTAATGGAAATAAATTATTTTGACAATGATATGAAGAGATTTTCAAAATCCCCTCTGTAAAAACCTCGGACACTAATAAATGCATGGGGTAAAATTAAATAAAAATTTTTACCTTGACTTGTTCAGATTTTTATGCTGGAAATGTTTGCCAATTAGTGCATGTAAATAGTGCCTCATTTGCATAACCAACATAGCTTCATTTTGTTTTGTTTTTTATTAAGAAAAAAATGCAATACAAAAAAAATTCTTAAAGTAATCAATAAACTGGTGAAGCATAATGATAATTAGTCCATTTTCCTTTTGCCCAATTCATCTGCAAAAGTGTGCTACTTGTTAATCCCAGTGAAGTGTTCAAATCAGTTAAATCACTTTACAAACAGACCCTTAAAGTATTACATCGGAAGACTAATAGGTCTTGATCATTGTTGTAATATAGTACCAAAAACATTACTTATTGAACTTTAATAATATTCAACATCTGGCTGATGTTTGCTTGATTTTTAAAATGATTGGTCATGCTCCACCTTCTTTGTGAGACACAGATATCACACATAATAGAGGCAGAACTACATGATCAGTTAGAGAAGACTGTGCTGTACAGTTTAGATGCACAACATTGGCATGATCGTTCTTAGTTATAGCCATCAATAATAATTATGGAAATACTCTTTGTATTAAATAGAGATATTACAAATTACTCAATGTGTAAATATGAGCTAAAGAAAAGGCTAACAGTAAATGCAGCTTGTAATTATCTTTTTATTACACTTTAATAGTTTTATTGTATGCAACTCTGTATGCGTCATGCCACTGTGTGTATTTGTGTGTGTTCATTTATACTTACCTGTATTTTAGATTTTATGTTGCTTTTTTTTATTATTTTGACGAGGGGAAGAGATGAGAATTAATGCTTGGGGCTATGACTTATTTACAGTTTTTACTTTTAATTAATATGCACTGTCCCTGTTACTTTTTAAATTGCAAAAAGAGACATCCACTAGCGTAAATGCAGGGTTAGGACGAGTCAAGATGAAACGAAAAGCCTCTTAAAAGCACTTTCTTCAAACGATCATAAAAGTGCGTCCAGCTAGAGCCGTGGGCTTCTGGTGATTTTCCAGAGCGATCATGGGCTGACATTTTTTGACCACTGGATCAAGTCCCATTGATTAGACCATCTTCTAGAGCTCTGACACACACCGGTCTCCCTGGCGACATCTCTTTTGCTCCCTTTTTCTGTCTCTGTCGCTCTTGCAATTTGGAAGGCAAAGAAAAAACAAAAAATTACAGCTAGGTTCAGTTGATTCAGAAATAGCGTTGAAGTGCATGGTAAATGGCTGGATTAAAATTGAAAAATGATGTTGATCATTTCTTTACAAATTTGGGGTTGAAGTTTTATTTGTCATTGATATTCATAGCACTTCACTTTTTCTGCATTTTTTTGTGTTGCAGCCTTTATCCAAAATGGATTATATTTATTTATTTCCTCAAAATTTTGCACACAATACACCATAATGACAATGTAAAAAAAAAAAAAAAGATTTGGCGGAAGGTTACAAAAATTTCTGCTGCTTTGAAAGTTCCAATGAGCACAGTGGCCTCCATCATCCGAAAGTGGAAGATGCTTGGAACCACCAGGACTCTTCCTAGAGCTGACCGGCCATCTAAGCTGAGTGATCGGGGCAGTACGCCCTTAGTCGGGGAGGTGATCAATAACCCGATGGTCACTCTGTCTGGGCTCCAGCGTTCTTCTGTGGAGAGAGGAGAACCTTAAAGAAGGACAACCATCTGTACAGCAATCCACCAATCAAGCCTGTATGGTAGAGTGGCCAGATGGAAAGCCACTCCCCACCAGGAATTTGTCAAATGGCATCTGAAGGACTCTCAGATCATAAGGAACAAAATTCTCTGGTTTAATGAAAACCAGGCACCGCTCATCACCAGGCTAATACCATTCCTACAATAAAGCATGGTGGTGTCAGCATCATGCTGTGGGGATGTTTTTCAGCAGCAGGAACTAGAAGACTAGGGAAAGATGAATGCAGTAAAGTACAGAGACATCCTGAATGAAAACCTGCTTTAGAGTGCTCTTGACCTCAGACTGAAGCAACGGTTCATCTTCCAGCAGAACAATGACCCAAAGCACACCACCAAAATATCAATGGAGTGGCTTCACAACAACTCAGTGAATCTCCTTAAGTGGCCTAGCCAGAAGCCGGACCAAATCCTTTTGAACATCTCTGAATAGATCTGAAAATGCCGTCGATTTCCATCTAATCTGATAGAGCTTGACAGGTACTGCAAAGAGGAATGGGCAAAAAATCCCAAAGACAGGTGTGTCAAGCTTGTGGCATCATATTTAAAATGACTTGATGCTGTAATTGCAACCAAAGGTGCATCAACAAAGCATTGAGCAAAGGTAAATGCATGTGATTATACAGTTTTATTTTATTTTATTTATTTATTTATTTATTTTTATATATATAACTTTGCAACAATTTCAAAAATCTTTTTTTAACGCTGTCATTATGGGGCTTTGTGTGTAGAATTTTGAGGAAATAAATTTATTTAATCCATTTTGGAATAAGGCTGTAACAATATATATATATATATATATATATATATATATATATATATATATATATATATATATATATATATATATATATATATACTCCGCTCAGCTCAGCAATACCCCTGAGTTTTTATGTGCCATTGATGCAGTTAAATTTTCTCTTTTTAATTCCATAAGTATTGATGAGATATTTGCCAGAGATGGGTTGCGGGTGGAAGGGCATCCGCTGCATAAAATATATGCTGGATAAATTGACGGTTCATTCCGCTGTGGCGACCCTGGATTAATAAAGGGACTAGGTCGACAAGAAAATGAATGAATGAATGAATTGATGAGATAATGTCATCAATTCTAGAATTAATGTGGAAAAAGCTTTTCTTTCTCTCTCTTTCTCTCTCTCTCTCTCTCTCTCTTTCTCTCTCTCTCTCTCTCTCTCTCCCTCTCCCTCCCTCCATCCATCCATGCGCGCGCACACATGACACCCGCGCGCATCTCTCCGCTCAGCTCCACTGGCTCCGCAAGTGCCTCGAGCGCTGATCGCACTTCAAAAAGACTTTCACTGAGAGCCAAGTGTGAAAGAGGGCAACTAAACGGGACAGTTTTATCAACTTATCAAGTGAACCTGTGGTGTGAACCGTCACAGATGATTTTAATAGATACTTTAATTACTTTTTCTCTTCATGAAAGTTGCTCGACTCAACAGGCAGTTGCAGAAAGTGAGCTGGTGCCATTAAAATCTACTGCGTTCAGCTACGTCTCTGCTCAGGATGAACGGAACGTTTTTTAACCACACGGTTTTTACGCAAGGCGTTCTGCTGAATCGCAGTCAGGAGCTCGCGGGGACGCTGGTCGACTGCTGCACAGGGAACGGGAGCGAGGTGACCGCAAACGATGGCGGAGGCTCTTTGGTTCTCGCCCAAGACGAGCGCAAACTGTTCGTTACGCGCGTGGTGCAGATCGCGGTGCTCTGCGTGCTTTCGCTCACGGTGATGTTCGGGATCTTCTTTCTCGGCTGCAACCTCATGATCAAGTCCGAAAGTATGATTAACTTCCTGGTTAAGGACCGGAGATCATCCAAAGACGTCGAGGCGGTGATGATAGGACTGAGTTAGCCGCGGGTCACACCTGTTAATAACCGGGCGGAATAAGGCGCGAGTGGCACCTGTTTTTCCACAGGCTGGGATGCAGGAAAATATGCAACTTACACTTTCACTCCCCTTCTGTTCTGGGAAGACAAATCCGATGTGGACGAGAGGTTCCTAAAGTAAATAAGACAGAGGAAAAAGTTGCACGTTTACGAAACGAGAATGTATTCGTCCATGTTTACGTAGCTTTTTGTATTTGAGGTAGTTTTTTCTTGTGCTTTTTTACAGTGCAGTGTTTACACGTTTTTACCTTTTACCTGATAAAAACGCAAAGTATGTATTTATTGTATTTTGTTTGTAAAAAAAAAAAAAAGTGCAAATCATGACTCAGATTCAGGATTTTTGTCTCGCGACTTGTAGCTAGTTTGGCGAAACAATTTTAGATTTATCAAAAAGTTTTAACCACATTTTAAAAAATGTATTTGTTCACCTAAGTTTTATCGACTCTCCTGCACAATCATAATGTCATATATAATGGAAAGCGCATGAGCAATTTGGTGTTAGCGAGCTAATTTCTGGCTCTAAATTTTTTTAATCAAAACGCAAATCATTTTCTCAGTTTATATGCTTTATAGGTGCAACATTCATCACCGTAGAAAGCCCAAAGTGTATCATCGATACACTCTTAAAAACAAAGTTGAACCAAAGAGGTTTTCACAGTGATGCTATACTAAAATGACAATGAAAAGATGAAAAATTATTTTAAAAACACTTTTTTTTTTCTTCTAATGATTGTTAATTAAAAAAAAAAAAACTACAATAAAATAAAAGATTCTGTGGACAGGGTTACATGACTTCTTCCTGGATTCATTGATAAACTAAAATTTCCTAATTTACAATCACATGGTTTTAAACTTTTGTTAATTTTTTAAATAATGTTATGAAGACTTTTGGAAACAAGCAGCCATTTGAAAACAATGAGAGTCAATGACTGCTGCTTTCCAGCATTCTTCAGTATTTCTTCCTTTGTGTTCAACAGACGAAAAAAACTTTAAACAGGTTTGGAACAAGGATGACAGATATTCATTTTTGAGTGAACTATCCCTTTAAGACAGTACTATAAGTTTTGTGATCACAATTTAGCAACAGGTTAAAATAAGTAGCATCAACTTTAAGCATCACTGAAAATCTTACTAAAACCTGTTTACTTATAGGAAATGTTGCATTTAATTATGAAGATCATCTTTTTTTTATTGTTTTGACTTCTTTTAGATTTTACGATTGAACTTATTCAGACTTCCCTAAAGCAGCAACCCTGGTTTGTACAAGACAATCACTTCCAAAAGCATGCTATTTTGTGACTATTGCGCCTTAATTCACAGTTGTTTTGATTTTGAAGATGTTATACTGTATTGTTCTTGGAGTTTACCTTGTGGCTGAGATCACGAGATAATGAGATGTTCGTCTGGGGAAACTTGCACGTTTTCAATGGATTCTTTTCACCCTGATCACAGTGAATGACGGACGTCTCTCCCTCTGCATGCGCAATGCTCTGTGTGTCAGGCACTTTCTACAACCTCAATTGCTGCATGGAGTATTTCGTAAAATCTTGACTTGCAAACTTGAATTAGTGCAGCATGCTTTGAATAAAATTGTTCAAAACATTGTTGCATTTGTTGTTGTTTTTTTCATCCAAAGGTCAGGTTTGCATAAGAGAGAATTAACAGGCCAACTATGCCAAATTTAGGTTGCAGGTACAAAATGTTTGTTTTTGTACACTGAATAATTTTATACTGTTTATTTTTTACAAAAATGCAAAAGACCTTCGATTGTGTGTTGTGGTGTGGGATGCAAGTCTTTGACGTGTTCAGAGAAGGGCAGTGCTTCAGGGAAAATATAAATTATGTAATTTTTCTAAAGCAAATAACAAGGCTTACTCACTCAAAGTTCTGTGTGAAAAATTTGCGAGAAAAAAAAAACAAACTAATTGGTGATAAAATATTTAAAGTAGCCTATAGTGTTAATTATATGCTGCATGAAAAAGCAGCTCACCATTTAATAAAGACTCGCTGTTCCTTAACACTTTTCACTAGAGCTGTAAGCTTATATTAAGCATGTTTCTGTAAAAATAATCCTTTTCACTTCATACAATTTAATTTACTCTTAATTTAATTTACTCTTAAATGTGCTTGTTTATATTTAATATGTCTTACATCATGAATATATTTTGGCAATAGCCAATTAGCCAAAAAAAAAAAAAAAAAGAATACATGGCATTGGTTAAAATTATTTAATTGAGTGAAGATGATGTTCCATTAAAACATTTTGATAAATTTGATACTATAAATCTATATACATTAATATGCCTTGCTAAGAGCTTAATTTTGACAACTCAATTTTTAGATTCTTTTGAACCCTCAGATTCACTGAAAAAAAAAAAAAAACATTATTCAAAGATGATTCCTTGGAGTTACTAATTAGTTAAGGGAAGTGCTTGTAAACTATTTATTCGGGCTGAATTTAAACAAACAAGTTAAGTTGAACATTACTAAATGTAATTTGTTTGTTTAAATTTACCCATATAAATTGTCGCAAATATTCAGCCAAATATCATATTATAACAAACTATGCTTCAACAGAGCTTATTTATCCAACTATGTGATGAAATCTATGCAAAAATATATATTGAAGACGCATAATAGGTCTTGTTGTCCATGGACATGGTCATAAATTATTTATCATCCTATGCATATTAAATATGGCAAATGGACACAAATGTGTGCTTAATGTGCAACAACTATTGATAATATTTGATGATAATGTTACATTTCAGCTTGTATAACTTTCACCAAACAAAATTTACTATAAAATCTTATTTTTATCAGTTTTATATCTGGTTGGTTTATTGGCAGAATGCGCATTACTGAATCCGAAGAAAACATATATGAATTATTCGTTTACAAATGTTCTATTAATATTTGATTATTTGATTTTTATTCAAATATACACATAAAAAAGTGTTTTAAAAGTCTTATATATATATATATATATATATATATATATATATATATATATATATATATATATATATATATATATATATATTTCAATTCCATGTCACTCGTCATTGTTAAATTAACACAAATTTTAGTATTTAAACTAAAATGTGTTTCTGGCTTCTGCATCACTTCTTTCTCTTATTTTTCGAAAAAAAATATTTAATTATAGTAATATTATAGTATATTTATATAACAATTTAATCCATGTAATAATGGTGAAGTCTAAATTATTCACTTTTTTTTTTTTTGCACCCAATTTAAGTAGATGCTAATATACATTAACAGGTGTATGTACTGGCCTGTTCTCTTTGTGTAGTTTTGGAAGCATCATCTTTGAACATGCCATACATTTACATCATATGCAGAAAAGAGGGGAAAGCTATACCCTCTGCCTGGTAGCACAATGTTGTTCAAAGCCTATGATAGGCAGTTTTAAATAATGTTCTGTGTGGTATTTTGACTTAAAGGACATCAGAGGCACATTTTATCACTTGTAAAAAGTGGTATGATAGATCCCCTTTAGCTTTTTACTTATAAAGTATGATTTTATTTTACCTATCTCTTTTTCCAAAAAAAAAAAAAAAAACTTTACAAAAGGTGCATTTTATTGCGTTTCAATCAAATTCAGAAACATAAAGGTGCATAGTGATCTGCCTAAATGATAACCGGTTACCTTAATATCTTTCAAATACAATCCCTTTCCTGTTGTTCAAAGCTGCGCCTCCTTATACACTGAATGTGCATCTTAAAGATGACAGAGACCTACTAGATCATGTCATTCGGCAGTACTAAAGAACTAAAAGTACTAAATTATAGCACTTTATACTACAATTCTTAATGGAAAACTGTATGATATCTAGTGCGTTTTCAGGTATGTAGTTAGCAAAACTTGTCATCAGTCTCACTCATTCTCACACACTGTCCTAAAGCGACTACTGTATCCTTACTGCCTAGTGACTACTGTATGCTAAGCCATACTGGCATGCTATTTTAGAGTGAATATTCCAAAACAATCTCACAGCAATTCGTAACTTTTTGATTCAGTGGCTAATTCGGATGATTTCGTATAGTACGATTTGCTCATCCCCCTATGAAGGTTGGGTTTAGGGGTGGGGTTAGGTGCCACGCCTCCTTTTTAAAATTGTACAATTTTGTACGACTGAACTCGTACGAATTTGTATGAATTAGCCACTAAACTGGCAAAACCTAAAATACTTATGTTTTCTCGTGCGATCAGGCTGAATATTTAGAGTAGCGGTAAACTATATAGGGAGCGCGTCACAGTATGTCATTGTTAAAAAATGAGCCAACGTGAATATACCTCAGTAAAGCAGGCTAGGCAGAATAGCACTATTTATTGATGTTTTGTTGTTAAACTAGACAAAATCTACATTATCGATATATATAAAAGGTCTCTTATGAAACTGAAAATAGTCACATCAATCTTTCACCGGAAGATTTCAGTGGCTGAACAACACTTCTGTGCATACAACCCATTCGTAAAACAATGCAATCTACATCAGCTTTGCGTGACTAAAATAGCTTTACAACATAATGTAAGTTTTTTTTTTTTTTTGAATGACCAGTCTTCCAGATGAAGAAGAGCCGAAGTCAAGAGATTCAAATAAATAAAGTTTACTAAAGATAGTTTGCAGTTTTATCAGCAGAAGCCAGCTTCAACACTTGCAATGAGTTCCTAGGCTGCTCTGTCTTATAGTCACAAACCAACATCAATTGTACTCTCACATAAGTCATTAACTGCATCATACATATAGGTGTTCTAACCTGATTGGTTAAAACACACGTGGCTGCGTGCGTACAATTCTGAACAATATCTTAAGCAAATAAAGCCAGACATCCACTAGACTGTTTAGAGCTGACTCCAGACCTGTGAAACAGATCCACAGTCAAATAGAACACACACACCTAAAGTACAATCTGTTTCTTACTAAAGGCTGGGTGTATTCTCAGCCATCTTTATCAAAACTGGTTAAAAACTGGTATAATCTACATTCAGGCAGTTATATACTTACTACACAAAGTCTATCTTGACTAAAAAGTAGAATCGTTTTAAAAGAATTAACCGTAAAAATAGCTAAATCACTTTGGACATTTTAGACAGTATTAACTCATAAAAATTACACACAGTTGTTTCCAGTCCTTAGCCCTTCAGTTCCACTCGAGGTCTCCATGACCTCTAATCTAGTTTGGTGGCCCCTGAAAATAGTTACAAAGAGACAGGCAAATGCACTGAACATTCTTACATTAAGCAATGTGTTAACTTCATTCATTATTCCATAGTCATCTTTAATAAAATAATGAGAAACAGGATGATGAGAAAAGGATAAAGGTTAATCCATGCTGAGACGGATTGGAAGCTAGAAATATTGGAAGGTAAAAATCTGAATCCTTCAATAACATTACCTTACTAAAGAAAATAGTCATGTCATGGTGTCGTCCTTCCTCCGGTGTGTAAAACACATTCCAATATTGATTCAGCATTTGTTTTGACCGCTGTCACTCATGTCTACTTGACTGTAACCTGTGTGAACGCGCACCGGCGGATCTGCGTGAACAGGTGTGCAGATGAACAAATCTACATGTGCTGAGAGACAGTTTGGGCTACTTTTCAAAATTATGGAAAATGTTGGCCCGACAATTAATAATTGGATGAATGTTTTTTTTTTTTCAGTCTTATGCCTTACCCAAAATATAAAAATAACATATAAATACATTTAGATCATTTACTTTAATC